TAATTTAATTATTATATAGATTATAATAAAATATTAAATAAAGAAAATATATTTAATTTCAGTTTCCTTTCCACATCTGTTGAACTTTATTTCAAATGTAGAAATTCATTTTTAAATACATTTCCTTTTTAGATAAAATCAATATTTAAAGTTATCAAGCCATTCTTCTAATTCTTTTGAATGGCTTTCTTTTCTTGTTCCATCCAAATTAATGATACCTCTATAAATTAATTTACCATCTTTAAAAACACATAAATTATCTGGCCAAATACCAAATGATTCATCAAATAGATTTTAAGGATAGATATCTTGATAAATAGGAAATTCATCTGGAATATTATATTTAGTTTTGAGAATTTATGCCATTTAAAGTCGTTATTCTTGGCTCTTATGCTATGGATACTCAAAGCCGAAATATCCTCTAGGCCATCCATCTATGAATTTGCCTTACTCATCTGTTTCAAGAAAATGAGCCTCTTTAATATATATAAATTGGCATTTGCATATATCTTTATATTTTAAGGCAAATTCTATGTAATCTGGCATAGAATCCCTATATGGAGGTCATGTATAACTGCCAGCAAAGATTACACATAACTTTTTTTCTTCTTAGGCAGATTACAATAATTATTCTAATTAAAGTTCTTTATTGTCAAGTGTCAATAATGGTATGGGAGGAGGTGTTTCATTTAATTTCACTCTGCTTCCATGCATGACATTGTTTCTCCAGAAAAATATTTAAGGTTTTAGTTCAGGATCATTTGAATATTTTCTGGTTAAGGCAAAATATAATTTATGATTAAGAGGGCAATCATCATATCCAAATGTCTTAAGTAACTCAGAATGTATAGCATGTTCAACTGCACTAGAATGATTCATATCTTTATATAATTATTAGACTTTTGGATTCAATCTTACTTACTAGAAATATATATATATATATTTTACTTGTTCTTTAAGAATAAACTCAAAAAACTTCTCTCTATTATTTGGTAATAACTTTAATTGATTATCAGTGGATGCTGCCATCAATTCTTCATAAGTTGGAGGTTGATAACAATTTCCTAATCTCGGTCCTTGTCCTTCTTGATAGGTGTTTGGATCAAACAAATTCAAACATTCCTAAAAATAATATTTAACTTCCTACCTATTCTGTATCAGAAATTTGCATAAATTTATTAATAGAAATATTTTCTTATTATATTAACTTATATGCTAATATTTTTAAATAAAATTATCTCAGAATTTATTATATTTTATTAATATTATACTATATAAAAATAACTATAAAAACTCATTTTGTAGAAATCAAATTTAAGGTTTCATGTTCTTTTTAATTTATAAAATGTAAGTGAAAATACTTTGTATTTTTGCTTTATCTTTAATATAATTTTTTAATCTATTTTAATTTAATCCATTAAAATTATCTAATTATCTATAATATTCTAGATAAGGAGTAATTTAGATTTATTGAGTTGGATATTTTATATTTTCTATTGCTTCACATTACTCTGTTTTATGAAATGAATTCATCTCTAATGTTCTATACATAAATAAACATGCCTTTTCAAGCATTTATATTTCATTGCTTACAAATAATTAAGTCAATTTTGGTATGGTTATTTAAACATGTTATTAATTTTTATGAAGCCATAATTATGTTGTTTAAACTATTATTTCAATAGGCTAAAATAAAATTGATGTAATCATTATAATTATTAAACATAAAACTAAAAATAAAATTACTAAAGAAATTATTTAGACAATTGTTTCATTCATTAAATTTTATTCTAAAGTTTTATGAAATGAATTTGTAAATGTGACATATTCTTCACTACTTAATAACCTATTTATTGTCTTTAATAATTTATTACATTATTAAATACATTTTATACTCAATTAGATTTTCAATGCTGACAATCATTTCTTATTGTGTAACTGAATTATATCTACATTTTAAAGTAGTTCTAATTTTAAAAGTTTAACATGAAGATATTCCATCACTCTTTTTAATTTCATCCCAATCTGTTAAATTAAATCCAGTATAAGATTCATTAAAAATATAAAGTGGTAATTATTCAACTTTAACTGTAAAAGGATGCATAATTAATGTACCATCCTCTGAAACCAAATATATTAATTGAAATCCTGTTTCATTATTTGATAGATATTACACTAATTTTGAACCTAAAAATGTTGATGAAACTCCTCCTACAAATTTAACATTTTCATCTACAATTGGTAATGTCATTGATAATCCTATTGTTTAATAAGTAAACACTTTCTAATAATAAATGAATAATCACATAAATATGGAGCAGTAAATTTAAATGTATAAGAATCATACTTTGTGGTATTGAAATATGTTTATTTTAATGTTTTGTACCAATCTCTTTTCTCAGGAGCATAAGTATAAATACCTTTGCCTCTATTGACACATGGATATAGATTATTTATTTTTTATAGATCAATATAAGAGTATATATTTGATTGCATTATTAATGATCCTTAATATAATATTTATCCATATGCCTATATTTATTCTTATAATTTTATTCCTATTCTTTGTTCTTCAGTTAATGGATTATTGTAGGCTGAAGTATTGGAGTAACACATAAATGAATTTGAGATATTAGAACCATATTCATTTAGAATTCTTAAAGGTTCTGGAATTTATATCATTCCTTCATATTCCATTTGAAATCTTTCATCAATTTCAAGTGAGCTTTTCATTATTTCTTTTTTGGTTCTTAAATACAATCTATGAAATGAAATAAGAGCATTTCCATCTAGATGTAGAAATAATTGATTACTTAAAGCAAATATTTAATAGAAATAAGATTTATAGTTATTCAACATAAATGATATTCTTATTTTTGATTAAGTATCATGTAATATATCAGATTCTGCTAAAAATAGGTTATTCAAAATAGACTAATGAGCTAAATTCCATAAAGCAAATATTGCAACAATCAACATAACAAATACTGCTACTATTATAATAAATTAATTTCTTAGTCTTAAATTAGGTAAGCAATATTAGACTAATCGGAAACACAAATTCAATTAATCCTTGTTTTTCATATTTTTATAATAATAAAATTATTCAGTATATATATTTATTGTAGTTTAATGTAATAAATTACTTAAGTCAATGATTGATTAGATTTATTATAATTGCAATCATTCAATTAAAATAAGATAACAACTATTACAAACTATCATATATAATTATAATTGATATAAAAGATAAATTATTATGTAATAATAATTATAAAGACACGGAAGTATGGAACCATTAAATGATCAAAATGCATAAGTTGCTGGAAGTGTAGTAGATTAAAATCTAATAAGATAAAAAAACTGTATTTTGTGGTTATTATGCTTTTGTTTTTTGTTTTGCACAATATATTTATAAGCATTATGGTAAATTTGAATTTTAAATTAATAAGTATGATACCAGGACTTTAAGTATGTTCAATGAGTGGAATAGAAGCTCCTGTTCCCTTTTAATAAAGTATTATAGCATATTACTTTTTTACTTTATTGTTTCTATACACAATATATTATGCTTTAGAAAATGTGAAACATTCAATTGTAGTTTTTATTAGATGGCCATTATTACTTTATTCCTTAGCTGCTATAATAATAGGAGTAGTTTCAATTATTTAATCATACAGTCTAACTACAGATGATATTTAAGAAGGTTGGAATAAAATGACTTAATGGAGAAAATAATAATATTATGACAGTTCATCAACTAATTTATTAGATGAAAATAAAAGGAATTTAATATTAATCAGCGTTTATCATTTTATTTATGGATTTGTTTTTATAATACTTTTTGGATTACTATTTAATTACTAAACAATAATGCCTTAAAATTGGAGACCTCCTTTTTCATCTAGACCACTTTAAAAATAATCTTTAATTTATAAAGAAGGAATGAATGATTAAGTAATGTAACCAAAATAAGATGATGAAGAAAACTAAGAGAAATAATAAGATAAACCATTTTAGAATTATAATTAGAGTGAAATTAAATAATAATAATAATAACCAATAGATTAATAACCTTCCACAATATTCTAAAAGAAGAATACAGGTCGTAGAGCTTTTGGAAAACAAGTTCAAAATTCATAAGTTTAATTATAATCATAATAATAATCATAATTATAATAATCATAAATACCCCCATAACCAAATACAAAATAAGATTAACCAGAAGAAGAAGCAAACTAATAACCATTTTGATAATCATATATATATATATATATAAGAAATAAAATTTAATCTGTTATAAAATTTATTATATTATCTGTTAATTAAATGTCGTCTGCCAATCTTTTAAATCATAGAAGTGTATTAAGAGAGAAATCTCTTAACTTTTTAAATGTTCCCATAGCTGATTACCTTGTATAAATAAATAATTATTTTATCTAGACTCAATAGAAACCAATAACAGAGGATTCATAATATAAAGCATTTTAAAGAAATCTTTAACTTTAAAAACAAATTCTTAATGAATAAGATGATGTTCATTAATATTAAACTGAATTATTTACTAAATCAGTTAAATAAGAAAGAGTACCTATAATTGTAAATCGTCCATCAGTATAACATTTTAAACCAACTTTACCTAATGATTTTGCTATTCCTAATAGAAAATCAGAAACAATTATTAAATAAATATCTAGAATAGATGATGATTTAGATCAATTAGCTCAAATCTTCTATTAACGTAAACTTTTAATGAAAGCATATAATGGTTTAGAATAACATGCTTAAAGAAAGAATATATAAATTGCTGATGAACATAGATAACTTTAGATGTTTAAAGCATTTTTCAAATAATTATAAAAAAAGTAAATGATCTAGAATTTTAAGAAAAGTCTTAAATAAAAATGAATTACTCTATATTATGATTTTATTAATGTATATACACTTTTTTATTAAATTTAGAAATTATATTAAATTTAATATAATTTTACACAATGTTTTTTGTCCATGAAACACCAGAGATTATTGATAATGTTCAATTTATCAATTTTAAAAATAAAGAAGGTCTTATATAAGAAGATCAATAGTTTTTATAAAATTTGGAAAAGTAATTATTCAAATATATAAATTTTAGATCAAGAAGTGAAGTTAAATACATATTAAGTCATTCAAATATTAAGACTTTAGTTGAAAATAGAGTATCATTATTAACAAAGAAGGATTCTCTTGATAATTATCTCAAGACTAATGTTGATATGGTATTATTATTAAATATTTTATAGATGAGATTATACTTAATAAAAATAAAGGAGCATCCAAAATTCAGTTATAAGCTTACTATTAATAAGAAATAATAACAATACAAAACTGAATAAATAAATAGTACAAATAGAATATATTATAATTATAGCTGCTGAAGAAGCATGTGGATGTGAAATTGTTATGGTTAGATATATGTATTTATTGGGATTCAATAATTCAGCAACACCATATGTCTTAAGACTTAGATATTCAATGTTATCTACTCCAAATAATATAGATTTAAATGATATTTAAGAAGCATTAAAAATTATATCAGCTGGTTGGATGCCTTTTTAAAGATTATGTAATGTTATGGATGATTTATTATATTTCCTTGTGACAAAACAATAATAATTAATACCTGAATTAAAAATGACAACAATTTTTTCTTTTAAATTATTAATAGAATGCAATATGAATTTCTTTTATTTAGAAACTTTCAGACCTCAAAAATAATATGATAACATGATTAAAGTTTGTAAATCCAGTTATACTAAATTAATTGATGCTTATAATCGATTATCTTAAATTAAAGATGAAATACATCCAGAAATACTTGAATATTGTTTGAGTGGATAAAAATATTTTAAAGTTTATGGAATTTGGAGTATCTTATTAAAAAATGAGAGTGATATCTTATTTGATAGAACTAAAAACAAAAGTTATACTATATTAACAGCTGAATGTCATAAAATTGCTAATTAAATTGTCTAAACAGCATAAGAACTCTCTTCTATCAAAAATATTAATGAATATGATAAATTCACTTTAGGATTTATATAAAATGTTGTGAATCCAACTTTATAAAAATCTTTATCAGTCTATAGTTAGAGTGCTAAATAACCATGTTAGTTACCAGATTAATTGCTTGTCTTAGCTGAATCTTTAGATTACACAGATTAACTCAAATGATAATGAAATTTATAAACAATTATTGATTCAATAGAATATAAAAAAATAAAATGTTATATTGTTTCTATATTATTTTTAAATAAAAGTAATTAAGTGAAAATATTTATAGTATTATAATCATTTCTTTTATTAAAGGATTTTTTAAACATTAATTATAGCATCTTGTCTAAATTGAAAATTGACTTTCATTAATTCTTTAGGTAAACTTTCTTCTTCATCTTAACTATATGTATCATCATCTAGTCTAAATGATTTAATCTTTCTAATTGATGCGAGTTTTGCCTTATAAGTTACAGAATTGCTAGGTTAATTCAAACTTTAAAATTTTGCAGGTATTGAATTCTTGGTTGTAAAAAGAGAATAACTTTCTAAGAATTATTATCTCTAATATTAAGAGTTATCAACACTTTGATCACTTTCTAAATTTTCTGAATCAGATGAAAATTTCATTACTAATCTTTTCTTCTTTTGAATCTAAATTGATTTAATTGGTTATATATTTGGCTCTGCTTCAACATAGTAATTTAAATATTCAGTGTCTTACATTTTTACTTATATATAAATTTATATTAAAATCTGATATTAAATTGCTTTATTTATTTGAAGTTTCAAAATTAAAATTACAATGGAGTATAGTTAATCTCAAATATGTCAATTCAATTAATAACTTTTAATGAATAATTGTTCATTATTAAATTAATTTTGTAAAGAAAAACATAAAGAAATCATTTATTTTTACTAAATTATTTAACTAATTGCTTAATCTTTACTTCTCTTTTCCAAATTCTTAATACATCATACATCCTTGATTTAAGTATCATCTCTTTCATCAAAGTAGTTATCTTACTTAAATCAATCATTTATCCAGGAGGTGACCAAGGAGATGCCAATGAATCAAGTAATAACTTTAATTTAAATTAATTAATACTTTGAGACATATAGTAGAATTAGACAATATTGCATATGACAATGGAGTTAATTCATAACAATCTAAACTATTTAGATAACTTCTGTTTTAAATAAATAATTTGGTCAAAGCAAAATTACTTTAAATGCACGCTAAATGCAAAGGGGTTTATCCATACTCTTGTTTACTTAATTTAAAATACTTAGTTTCGAATATGTACTAATTAAGGATCTTAATGTAACTCATTTTTTATCTATTCAAATTATTTGTCTATAACTTTCTATAAAAATGTTCTATTATATGTAATTGGATAACAGAACCATAATTTATATTTCAACATATATTTTACAACTTATATTATTTCTTTAATAATTCTCTAAAATCTTTTTATTATTCTGTTATTTCTTTTTCTTCCAGATGTTAATTATAGTTATTAAGCTGTATTAGCATATGAGATTAAAATCTTTCTATCAGTAGAACTAATAACATTCTAAATTTTCTATTTTATTGTTTTTAATTAATTTCTTTAATCAGAGACACTATTATTGAGATCTTATTTAAATCTTGAAGTATTAATTTTGATTAATGTTTTCTTAATATTACTTTAGCTTTAATTCTCTTGTTTTATTTAGGATAAATTTAAATTAAAGCCTTGTTTTGTTTTATCAATCTATCCATTCGAATTCACTTTGTGAAAGGATAGAAATTTAACCAATCTTATTCTTGCTGATTCACCAACTTATTCTTCAACAAATTTCTCTTCAACTACAGGAAATACTTCTGATTTATCTTTCTCTTTACTTTATTCTTGACTTCTCTTGTTTGAACTTTTAATGTTAAAAAAACGAGTTGATGATATTGCTGATGATTACTTATCAACTATATTTAATAATTATTTCAAAGTCCATTTCTTTGGTTGTTTTACTATTTTTGGTTCTTTGTGTTATAAGAAATTAGTATAAAGCTGTTAATTTTAGTACAAATAAATACATCTTGAGATTTAGCTTAGTGTCTTAGAAATCTAATTGTTAAAGGTTCCTTATTTAAAGTCCCTGCACTTAGTTAAGGTTTCAAAATTAATGTCTCTTTTTTTGTTTGCATAAAAATCGAAAATAAAACTTGATAAATTAAATAAATTATATAAATTATTAATTAATCTATAGTAAATTATAAACTAAAATAAATAGAAAATATCAATTAATAATACTTAATCTAATTGATTAATTAGCATAATAAATATTTGAGAATATTAGATAATTTTAGTTCTAAACTTTAAATGAAATTTAGAAATAAGGATAATAACATTTTTAGAATTATTTTATTTAGATTTTGATGATTAATTATTAATTTTTTCAGTTATGAATTAAGTCGATAATTTACTCAAACTATCCTTAAGTACTAAGAAATCTTAACTTTTAGATAATAACTTAAATCAAGACTTTTTTAATTAATGGGAATAGAAATTATTGTAAAAAGAAACATAAGTACCTTATATCATAATACTATAGTATAGTTAATATAAAAAGAAAAGTAATTGAAAGAAAAAGAGAATTAATTATCATAAAAGGAAAACTTATTAGTTAAAAAGGAATTAGATTTAAACAAGAGAATGATGAAATATTCAACTATTTTAGAGTAGATTATTGAATAGAAATAAACAAAATCAGATACTTAATTATTACCATTTAATTTTAATAATACATCTCATAGAAATAAAAACATNTAATAACATTCTAAATTTTCTATTTTATTGTTTTTAATTAATTTCTTTAATCAGAGACACTATTATTGAGATCTTATTTAAATCTTGAAGTATTAATTTTGATTAATGTTTTCTTAATATTACTTTAGCTTTAATTCTCTTGTTTTATTTAGGATAAATTTAAATTAAAGCCTTGTTTTGTTTTATCAATCTATCCATTCGAATTCACTTTGTGAAAGGATAGAAATTTAACCAATCTTATTCTTGCTGATTCACCAACTTATTCTTCAACAAATTTCTCTTCAACTACAGGAAATACTTCTGATTTATCTTTCTCTTTACTTTATTCTTGACTTCTCTTGTTTGAACTTTTAATGTTAAAAAAACGAGTTGATGATATTGCTGATGATTACTTATCAACTATATTTAATAATTATTTCAAAGTCCATTTCTTTGGTTGTTTTACTATTTTTGGTTCTTTGTGTTATAAGAAATTAGTATAAAGCTGTTAATTTTAGTACAAATAAATACATCTTGAGATTTAGCTTAGTGTCTTAGAAATCTAATTGTTAAAGGTTCCTTATTTAAAGTCCCTGCACTTAGTTAAGGTTTCAAAATTAATGTCTCTTTTTTTGTTTGCATAAAAATCGAAAATAAAACTTGATAAATTAAATAAATTATATAAATTATTAATTAATCTATAGTAAATTATAAACTAAAATAAATAGAAAATATCAATTAATAATACTTAATCTAATTGATTAATTAGCATAATAAATATTTGAGAATATTAGATAATTTTAGTTCTAAACTTTAAATGAAATTTAGAAATAAGGATAATAACATTTTTAGAATTATTTTATTTAGATTTTGATGATTAATTATTAATTTTTTCAGTTATGAATTAAGTCGATAATTTACTCAAACTATCCTTAAGTACTAAGAAATCTTAACTTTTAGATAATAACTTAAATCAAGACTTTTTTAATTAATGGGAATAGAAATTATTGTAAAAAGAAACATAAGTACCTTATATCATAATACTATAGTATAGTTAATATAAAAAGAAAAGTAATTGAAAGAAAAAGAGAATTAATTATCATAAAAGGAAAACTTATTAGTTAAAAAGGAATTAGATTTAAACAAGAGAATGATGAAATATTCAACTATTTTAGAGTAGATTATTGAATAGAAATAAACAAAATCAGATACTTAATTATTACCATTTAATTTTAATAATACATCTCATAGAAATAAAAACATTAATGAATACTAAAATAGGGTGATTAATTTATTAAATACTATAAGAAGTAATAGTTAATAGTAATAATAATTTATTAATTAATAATCTTATATGGGGAGTACTTTAGAATTAACTGAAGATAGATTTAATAAGAGTTCAAGAGGATTTTAATTATTATGAAGAATTTTACATTATTTTCAATATATATAATATATAAACAAAAACACTAAAAAGAATGATAAGTTTTTTCTTCATTTTCTTTTTTATTTATACTATGATTTACCAATCTATAGCTATTAAAAAATGTCCAATTTTATTGAAAATTCTATAATTTATATTATTATATTACTTGTTTCATTTTCTAACTTAGGTATAGGTTAAGGAGTTTTATTTGAAAGGAATGAACTTCTAGGTTAATAATTCAAAAAGGATTTATCTGGAGATTTTTTTGGAGTTCTTCCTTCAATTTTAGGAGAGTAATTTTATGCAAATTTTTATCTATCTAATCTGGAACTTTCAATTAAGAATGACTATTATAATCCATTATTATTTAATTAATTAAGAGGAACTTATTTAATTAAATGATTTAATGTTGTTCTAGCTGATTTAATTGGTTATAATTGAATAGGTAGACCATCCTAAAGTTTTAACATCTTTTCATTGAGTCTTTCACAACTATTATTAGTAGTTGCATTCATAAATTTGAATTTTTATTTTGAAGTTATACCAATAGGTATTTATTATTTTTTTTTGTTATAAATGATTTGATCAAGCATATTAGCTTAAGTTTTAATATTATCACTTATATTTCTATTATTTTTAAATGAGGATTATTGATCTTGAAATGAATAAACTAATCTTTCAGTAGGAGAAAAATCTTTTAGTTTTTGATAAGTTATATTTTATAATAATAATTAATTTTCTCTTTAAGTTTGAATTTGAATTTATTTCAATTTTTACAATTTTAATTCTTTATAATTAAATTCAGATACCATTGAAGTAATTGATTCTTCTTAAATAGTATCTAAATTAGAATTATAATGTTTATGATAAGTAGTAATGAGATGATTAATATATTGAGATGAACAAGCTATATGTTTACATGCTATTTCAATAGCTTTAAGATGATATAATTCACTTAATTTAAATTCTTCAGTATTAATATCTTTAATTCCTTATAATTTTGCTTTTTCTAATTCTATAAATCTTAATTCAGTTGCAATAGTAAAATATGAGATTGATAATTAAATGATTTTTTCCAATAATAATCTTTTGGAAATTTCATATAACATTTCTCCTTATTATATAAATTCACTATAAATTAATGGAGTCATATGCATAATAACACTAATATTAAATGATTAAATCCATTCTTCAACATTTTAAACTCCTAAGATTGAACGATAATCATCTTCTTTATTATTTAATTTTAATTCTTTACGAATATGTTTTTCATTATTTTAAGGATTATTTTTCCAGAAATATAATTACTTTTTAGCCTCTCTCAATATTAATTGTTCATCATTAGATATATTATCTAAATCTTAATAATTCAACATATCTTATAATATATCCTTTCCTGAATTTATTACTAATCTACTAAATTCAACTTCATCTTTCATTTAAAATTTATTATATTTTTATTTTGATTTATTATTCAAACATGTATTATTGATTGTTACTGATTCTAAAGATTCATTTTAATTAAACCAATCTTTACAAAATTTGGATGCTAATTAAAATACTTATCTCATAGTTTCTGCTGCTTTTCTTGCTGATTATAAAGCTTATTAATGTCTAATTATTTAATTTTTTATTACTTTCCTAATTAACTTAATATAGCAGTATGTTATAATGAAGCTCTTGCAAGGAATGATTTTATTTTAACTTAAGTTGCATCATTATATTAATTTACGTTTTGATCATTCATACTTTCATTCAAATTGTATATAACTCCAGTCAAATAATTTGAGCATTTATGTAAAACCCATTAACTTTATTAATAAATTCTAATCCTTACCAGTGATAACTGCATGCCTAATTATAAAGTATTACAATAATTAGATTCTTATCCATTTATTTACCACAATTTATAGCATACTATTATATTTTATCTACTGATATTACTTCTAACATCTTTTCTGATTAATATAGTAATTATATGGCATCCTAATATCTTTATTATTTAATTTTTAGAACACTTTATTCATTGTATTAATTGATTTGATGTATATATTATTCTAATTTTTACAGTTGATTTTAAAGATACCTTCATTTTATAATAATTCTCTTAATCCATTTTACTCTATAATTTCTGATGGTTCATCTTCTTAATACTCTTCTTTTTGTTCGAATTCTTATAAATTTTTAATTGACATTTATTCAAAAATATAACAATAATTGAAATAAATTATAAATGTTTTGTCTAATACCAAAATAATTTAATTTATATAGATTTCAAAAGTGCTCAACATTTTTCGATTATTTAATTGATTTATAACAATCTTGTAAATCAATTTAAAAATTTTTTTATACATCATTCAAACACCAACTTTATTGTTATCTAAATATTTTAATATCATCAATAAAATTAATATTTAATTATTCTACCTTTTATTTATTATTATTAATTTCTGATTTCAATTCATCTATTTATGATTTGTAATTTGGATTATTTATTAATTGAGTATCTTAATTAATTTAATCTTTTAATTCTTTATATAGATTTATTAATTTAATTGCTTCATCATAATCTTTTAAACTTGTTTCCATTCTATAAATATACTTTTATCTTAATCTAATTTCATAACTTTCATATATCTTTATTATAATTTGAAGCATATTAAATTCTTCACTTCCCTAACATTCATTCACTAATATTATTTATATAATTTACTAAATATTTCACTACTATTAGATAATGCTCTTGTTTATATCTATAATTTTTAAACTATTTTCTAAAGATCTGAAGTTATTATTTCAATATTAAGTTTATTTTATTCTAATTCTTTCTTATCTTTAACAATATCATTAGTAATTTACATTCATCAAATTATTTATCAAATTCATCAGGTATTCTAGGTATTATTTAAACATTCTTATAATTATAGACTTTTGAAAACATACTCATAATTGATAATCCTGCATTTATAAATTTATTGATAATATTCTACTAATCCTACATACTCTCAATATATTATTAAAATGCATCATATTCCTAAAAATCATTTAAATTTATTTATTACTTTTAATTCTTCACCAAAAAACTTTTCTGTACAATCAACTGATTATAATTTCTTATGACTTAATATTTTTTACATAAAGAAGACAAATTCTAATTTTCTTTGTTTTTATTATATAGAATATTATTACCTTTTATCTTTATCATAAATAGTCTATCTTTCAGGAAGACTAGGAATAATCCTGCCTATTTATTTATTTTGTAATTCATTTTATAACCATAAGAAATGTGTATATCTATTTTCTTAAGATTTTTAATATACCTTCTAATAATATCATGAGACTTTTTATTTTATGTTAATAAATCTATTTTAGTAATTGTAAACTTATATTTAACAGTGTCTTTTCCTCTATAAAAATTTAATATGAAATTTTACATTTATGATGTTTCAACTTCATTTCCAATACATTTGATTTCATATTGAATACGAGTTTCTTCTACTTAATTTCCTCTTTTGACTACATCGAAAATGGCCTAAGAAGTTGTGATTAAATCATAATTGTCTTTCATTTATTATTATAGAATTAATTATCAAGTAAAAAATTTCTTCTTCAAATGAGATTAGGCAAACACTTATTTAAAATTAAACTTTTAATGTTGACATGTGACATTGTTGTTGCTGAAAAAATTATTAGCAAAAGTGAAATTACAATCATCATCTTTTGGAATAGGATCATCAATTCTAGGTAATTTAGTTCGTTTATTATAATTTTAAGAGATGGATTACTTTACTTCAATTAACTTTGGTTTATTGGCATCCTATTAACTTTGAGGTTAAATATGAGATCTTGAATTCTTTTTCAAATCATTGAAATCTAATCTAATTTTTGTTTTTTGCGATCGAGTCAAATTATCAATAATCTTCTATTTTTGGTTCAATGATTTTTTCAAGTTCTCATTTTCTCTTATAATTTATTATATCTAATCAATCGGAGATTCATTTAACATTTCAGTGGAGACTCTGTAGGATTTAAAAGCCCTTAATTATGGAGAGGGTGAGTGACTAAATTATGAAAATTAATACTTTGAATCATTATCATTTGTAGATGGAGTAACTAAAGCTTATTTTAGGATTTGTGGTATTTCATTAGGCAATGAACCTTAGAATTTAAAGAGATTAATTACCAATTTAAAGTCTGAAAGAATGAGGTTTTGGTTTAAAAAGTTGACAGTTCAATTAATTGAAAACTCCAAAAGATTTAGAATGATGTTAATCCATTATTATTATATAAATAATTATTTTTTGATCATTTTTTTATATTGTTATATCTCTATTTAAATTATTTCAATAATGTTTTCTGTTTTATATTGTTACACATGTTTATTTTATAACTCATTTTTTGAAAGCATCAATTATTTTTAATTATTTTTAATCAATATTTAATTTCTATTGAATATCCTTCTTAATCTTATAGAAGAAAATGGAAGAATCTTTTAATACACTTAATTTGATTTATTTTAAGTACAATCATTATTTTATAGAGCAATATATAAAGAATTTTATTTTTTCTAGAAAATCCTTTTTCTTTTTATGATTGAACAAATAGTATTTATTAATGATTCAAAAAAAAAATGATAAAGTTTTAAAATTGCAAAATTTCATATTGATAGACATTATAATCTATTTTAGAGAATATACTATTTGTATATATTCTAAATTTATATAAAGTTTAGTATAAAGGTGATAATTAATTATATATTCTTAATATCTATTAATTTTTAAATTAAAGGATTATAGTTAAATGTTTTATTCCATTTATTTTTATGTCTTTCTGGTAATTATAAATTGAATTCCATAAATAAAAGATAACATTCAATCATTTTATAATTTTTGATTCAATATTAAGATTATAAAATGAATAAAAATTTGAAAGTAATAATATACTATAGATAATAGTTCTTTTAATTTATTCCTATTTTATTAATACTATCTATATTTAAATCAGAAACATAATTCCTTAATCTTATTCAAAATTACTTTCTTAATATTGGAAATTGATAGTTGAATATGATTGCAGTTGATAATAATTAGTAACAATGTATGATAACTATATAGTTTTGAATGATTGTTTAATCATGTATAATATATAAAATTTTAAATAAATAAAATATCCTTTTTAAAATTATGGCTGAATAAGAATCTGTGGCTACAGTCAAATTTGCAAATCAACCTAAATTATTCGGAAAATGGGATTATGATGAAGTTTAAGTAACAGATTAATGCTTCAAAGATTATATTGCAGTTCAAACATCAAAATCACGTGTGTTTGTACCTCATACTGCTGGAAGGTAAAGAGATTCAATTATAATGTTTATAGATATCAAAGAAAGAAGTTTAGAAAGGCTTAATGTCCAATTGTTGAGAGATTAGCTGGAGCACTTATGTTTCATGGCAGAAATACAGGTAAGAAAGTAAAGGCTGTGGCAATAATCAGACATGCATTTGAAATTGTTCATTTGTTGACAGGAAAAAATCCACTTGCAGTATTATCACTTGCTGTCTAAAGAGGTGGAGCAAGAGAAGATTTTACTAAAGTAGGAACTGGTGGTGTTGCCAAATAATAAGCTGTTGATGTTGCTCCAATTAGAAGAGTTAATGAAGTATAGAATTGAATTATAATGAAAGGCTGTTCATAATTTAGCCAAAGGTGTTAGAGAATCAGTATTTAAGAAGATGAAAACAATAGCTGAAGCCTTAGCTGATGAATTGATTGCAGCATCTNTATAAATCTTTTTGATGATGGATCATTATATTCTTTTTTTGAAGTGTAATTATGAAAGTTATGTGTTCCTATATATTATTAGCATATTTTCTAAATATCATTCATAGTGGAAAATTAAGGTGAAATATAATTATACATTCTTTAATCTGCTTAATTTTTTACATTAAAAGATTGAGTTACATGTTTAATTCCATTAACTCTAATATCAGTTGGTAATTATGAATTTAATTCATTAATCAAAAGATCCCAATTAATATTCCATTTATCAACTAATTTATTATTAGTCATAGATTAACAATATTTTTAATCAATTTGCAATTTCAAAGAGACATAATTACATAATGCATGTACACCTCGATCTGTTCTTGCTCCTCTACTTACTCCTATTTTTTTAATACTATCTGCATTTAATTCAGAAACTAAATTCCTTTATATTATTCAAAATTACTGTTTTAATAAGAGCATCATATAGTGTTGATTCAATTGTTGGATACGATTATTAATATTGTAGTCCATGATAATTAGTACCAATATATGATAACATTAAAGCCACTTTAGTTTTGAATGATTGTTTAATCATGTAAAATATATCAAATTTTAAATAAATAAAATATCCTTTTTAAAAAAAATATTATGGCTGAATAAGAATCTGTAGCTACAGTCAAATTTGCAAATCAACCTAAATTATTCGGAAAATGGGATTATGATGAGGTTTAAGTAACAGATTAATGCTTCAAAGATTATATTGCAGTTCAAACATCAAAATCACGTGTGTTTGTACCTCATACTGCTGGAAGGTAAAGAGATTCAATTATAATGTTTATAGATATCAAAGAAAGAAGTTTAGAAAGGCTTAATGTCCAATTGTTGAGAGATTGGCTGGAGCACTTATGTTTCATGGCAGAAATACAGGTAAGAAAGTAAAGGCTGTGGCAATAATCAGACATGCATTTGAAATTGTTCATTTGTTGACTGGAAAAAATCCACTTGCAGTATTATCACTTGCTGTCTAAAGAGGTGGAGCAAGAGAAGATTTTACTAAAGTAGGAACTGGTGGTGTTGCCAAATAATAAGCTGTTGATGTTGCTCCAATTAGAAGAGTTAATGAAGTATAGAATTGAATTATAATGAAAGGCTGTTCATAATTTAGCCAAAGGTGTTAGAGAATCAGTATTTAAGAAGATGAAAACAATAGCTGAAGCCTTAGCTGATGAATTGATTGCAGCATCCAATGAAGATGGATAAAAGTCATATACAATTAAAAAGAGAGACGAATTAGAGAAAGTTGCCAAAACCAATCGTTGATTTAGATTCATTAATTATAGTACAATACAAATAAACATTAATTAATAAAAATGAGTTCATATATTATAGCAGGCAGTTCTGATAAAGTAGATACAGCTGAAGTATTCTCTATTCTTTTAAACATAATAGTGTGAGAACATGGCCAATCTAATTAGATAATATTATCCAGAAATCTCATTCAAAATTGTATTGAAAGATCTAACTTAATGGGAATAATATGCTGATGAGATATGTAGAATATATGGATTTAAATAAAAAAGTAATCCAATTATATATACAATGGATGGATGTCTAATTGGAGACAGAAATGTATTATAATGCAAATAATTTAGGCATTTATTTCATTAGCAGAAAGTAGATTTGGTTTCTCTGATCCAAAATTAAGATAAGGACCTATTACTCCTGATGTCAATAAGAAAATAGCCAAATAAGAATTGGATCTAAAATTAAAATTATAGAGAAACAAGAAAACATTAATAGAGAAAATAGAATAACAGATGCTTATCATTTATTCTAATAATATTGTATAACCAACAGATGGTGTATTCAAATAGTCATTTAAAAGTGGTGTCAAAGAAAAATTGAAGACTTGGTATGATTCACTAAATAATTTAATACGAACAGATGTCAAACGTAACTTATCAACTGATAGTATTTACTCATCTAGTTTTAGAAATGGAATGAAGGTGAATTCTCTATTTTATTTTAGTTCCTATATAAATTTGATGATAGATTGAGACCAATCAAAAAATTATAAGAATCTCATTATTTTGAAGAAAATAAAGAAACCATATAAGAATCAAATTATGTTGATGTTGAAGTCAAAGAAGATGGTAAATTAGTAATCAAATAAATATTATGGTTTAGTGAAACAGCCAGATTTCTTACTTTAGAATAAGAATAATTATAATAATAATTATAAGAATTGGCATAATAGAAAGAGAGAGAATAATCTCATAAGAATAGTAATAATATATTATTATTAAGGCATAATTTCATCTGATATTAAAAGAGACAATAATGAATTAAATGATATAAACTAATCTCCAAAGGCAACAATTTAAACTTAACCAATTGTTGAATAACCTAATGAAGATGGTGAATAAGATATCATAAAAAATGATTAGATTGAAGATTTTTAATAGATTGATTAATAAGTTACTGATTAATAATAAGAATAAATTAATCCAACTATTGAACAATAAGAATTAGATTAAGTTTAATCTATTGGAGGTGGAGGAGCTATAATGGATTTATAAGAAGATATTGAAACTATCTTAAACAATAATTAAGAATAACCAGACAAAATTGATGTGTCAGAATTATTTGTTCATAAATTTAGAAATCAGTATGCATTAATTTTACATCCATTTCCATTAATGGATGGTTAAATGTTGTTATGTAAACCTATAGATAATCATATTGATGATTATAGTTGTATTAAAAGAGGAAGAATAAATTCATACAAAAAAAGTAGTGCATAATCAAATTGCGAAGGATTATATGAGCACTAATTAGATATATTTAAATCAATTACTATTTAAGATTGTGAAGTTGTTACCAAAATTATTAATAAATGTGATGCTTTAGTTGTTTTAAATATTCTTCCATAAGATTTAGAATCATTTTTACCATTATCTAATGGACATTATTCTATTATTTTAAGATAACATGCAGAATTAAATAAAGCAAATAAGAAATTGTTTAAATTTCTGAATGAGAAAAAAGTATAAGTTAATTATAAACAATTAATGCCAATTGAAGAATTTATTCTTGATCAAAGAAGTTAATGTTATGAAGTACAAAGAGAAGTATTTAAACGTAAAATTTAAATAATAATAATAATGTAGTTAAATCTTTAGATATTCAACATTACTTTGCATTCCCTCCTTAGATTTTAACAGCTGAATCTGTTATGGATATTATATTGAAAATTATTTCAATAATTTTGGATTATGATCATAGTAATCTAATATATTAATATTTAGCTGCTGCTCTGAAAATGGGATTCAATTTATTAATAAGCAAACACATAATATTTTTATGTCCAACATTTTCCAATTATGATAATATAGATGGATTTAAATTACATCTTTAAGCATTTACAGCTATGGGCTTTCTCAATCTACCAACAGGAAGTTCTTCAATCAATTTCTTTGATTTATTGTAAAAAGCTCAAGAAAAGGTTTAATCATGATCATTAATAAACATTATATATATATATAATAAATCATCTGAATTAATATTCTCCACAGTAAATATAATCTATATCATCATCCCAAGTAGTATATTATTTATCTATTCTATATAAATCTAATATTCGAGAATCATAGATATATTAACAATTATATAATGCTTCAATTAAACCTCTTTAATCAATTATTTAATTTAAAAATTCTGGTTCAGTTTTATAAATCTAATTTTATTTTATTTTAATTTAATTTTGGTCATATTTAGTTTATTATTTCTAAAACCTATTTTAATTTTACTAATTATTGTCAATATTAAATTCCATAGCTTTACCTCTCTATCTTTTATTATCATTATCATCTATTCTCTAATAAGTAATTAAATCATTTTCAACTTGATTTAAAATCTCATCAATCTATTCTTAATTAGATAATAAATCTTCTCTATTTTCTAAACCATTTCTATTTGTCTCTTCAGATTATCTTCTATTATCACTTGATTTATCTTAATTAGACCTTTAATCACTTACCATCTATCCATCACTATTAATTCTATAATTTTTCCTATCAATTTATTAACCATTAGCTCCAAAAATAGCATTTTTTCTACTTATCATTTTTGCATCTCTTCTTACTCTTCTTTTTGTATCAGTATCTTTATCATCAGTACCATTTTCACTAGGATCATTTTAATCATCTAAAAAGTTTATATTATTATTCTTGTCTTTTGTATCCATAATATCTTCAATACTTAATTTAGTATATTTTCTAGGTATTTAAATTTTAGATTCTTTTTAATCTTATTTAAAACTTTTAAGTTTCTATTTTTATGAATCAACTTGTGTTTGTTAAATTTATAATTATTCTATTGGATTAATTAACTTTGATTATTTTGATACTGAATTTTTTGAAGTTCTATTCTATTAAGCATTTCTTTTTGATTGACTAATTACTCCAGAGACTTCTGATAAATTTTCACAAGATTATTGAGATGTTGTATTATATTAATCTTAATCACTAAATTAATCAGATAATAATTGCATTATCTAACTTTATTCAGCTGTATTGAATGAATCATCAAAATTAAATAATAGATTTATTCTATTGCTCTTTTGAATTTTATTAGTTTAGAATAAATTAATAAGAGTTTCCATTCTATTTTTAAATTCAAGATCAGGTTCTGCTTTTGGTAATGCATAATAATCATTATAATTTTAATTTAATAATACGAACTCTTTTCTTAATTTTACTAATGTAATTATTGCTTACTTTTTCTCTATTTATCTTACATAACCTTTATGATTTTTCAATAATTTCTCTACCTAATTGTATATTTCCATTATTTTCTCTCTTATTTCAATTCTCTTTGTTTGAGTTTATTACTGAGGTTTTTTCAAGTAGTTTGGATACAAATCTAAATCAGGTGCACTTCTCCTAGGATCTCTAGATATCATAAAATTATTCTAAAAGTTCTCATTACTATTATTGCGAATACGCTTAAGAGGACTTTCTTTAATTTTAGTTGACATTGTAGCAGCATCAATTGGTTTATATAAACAATTAAACATTTCGACTTCATTAATAGGAGTCTAATCTATTTTCATAATGCTTGAATAATGATAATAAGAAGAGCTTTTATGATGAGTTGAATGCAATGGAGTTGTTGGCTATAATATTTTAGATATAGGAGATTGTGAAGGATTCAAAGATCTTGAATGGTGAGTTGATCGTTCATGAATGTTACTCATTGCTAATTATGGTAACTTAATCTTAGTTACTGTAGCTTTAGACTTAATAATCATTATATAAATAAATTATATTAACCTTAAAAAAAAGATTATTATTTCTATTATTTTTCCCTCAATTTCATATATTATTAACAAAAAAATCCATTAATTATCTTAGATAATAATAAAACCATCTTATTTTGATTTATTCATTTAATTAATATATAATTTTATAATGCAAGATTTCAAAAGAACTAAACTTGAGACTTCTTGTAATGAAATTTAAAGCCAATTTAATTAGATAATTCATAAAGAACAGAAGATTTCTCAATCATCAATGGGCCTACTGGTACAATCAAGTAAAGTGATCATAAATTTGATGAATAAGCTAGTGAAACATCAGAATACTAAGAAAAGTATGATATACACTTTCATTTAGTAAATCATCTTCTTTAAAATAACCCTTACCTATAATACAATAAGATATTGAAAAATCAGAGTATGAATCACAAATAGTGGAATCCTTGGCAGATTCATATCCAGGATCTGAGATTAAAGCACTTATTGAATAAAAAAAATAAAGAGATCATAAGCCTGTAAGATAATTAATCTTAAATATTTAGATATATCTTAATATTATGGTAGTTGGCTAATCAGGATTAGGTAAATCCACTTTCATTGATGTTTTACTCAAAAAAAAACTTGGTTCAGGTCAAATCATAAGAGATTCTACTCTATAAATTCAAGAAATATAAGGTATTTTTATTGATTCAAAAACAAAGGTTTAATTACTTAAAATGATTTAACTTTGAATATCAAATTTATTGATACTCCTGGTTTTAAACATTAATACAGTCTCAGATCTTGGCTTAAATTATTATGTGGATACATTAAGAATTAATTTAAGTCTTATTAATAAAGATAAAATCTATAATATGAAAGCAAAGAGAAATTTTAACAATTATCATAATAAGACTTGGATGAAAGAGTACATGTATGTTTTTACTTTTTCTCTGGTCCTAGAATTTAAACTGAAGATTTGTAAGCACTCAAAAAAATAAGTGGATTAGTTAATGTTATTCCCATTTTAGCAAAAGGAGATTCCTATACTAAAAATGAGATTATTTAGCTTAAATAACAATTTAATGATATGATAAATGAATATCATATTGATTTGTTTAAATGTTAATGTAACAATAATTTTCATGAGAAAAGTTAGTTTGGATCTACTACTCCTTATGTGATTATAAGTTCAGTAGAATAATTTTAAATAGGAAATCATTTAATTTATGGAAGGTAATAAAATAAATTATTATTAATAATAGAAAATTTCCATGGGGAATCTGTGATATCTTTAATCCTTAACATTCAGATTTGGCAATTTTATATAAATAATTAATTGGACATTATTGTTTAGAATTGATTAAATTAACAAACTTTCTTTATAACAATTATGTACAATAAGAGAAATAGAAATTGAAATTAAAGTAATAAAACTAGTCTTGGTTGTCTAATTTAATAAATTACTTATTTAATCGATGAACTATTTATATAATATATAAGATTATCAACTAAGAAATCAATATTTATATATATTATTAATATATAATAAATCAACAATTAGCTGATGGCTATTCCTCCTATTTTTATTCATGTGAATCTTTTTCCTTTTCTTATTTCAAATAATTTAAATTTAATCTATGAGTATTTCCAGGAGTATATTTAGGACTAGTTTATTTCCCACTATTCTATTTTGGTTTTGGATTTGATAATCTCACTTGTCTATCAGGAGTCCAGTCTGGCACTGTTCTTGGAACATAACTATATTAGGCTAATTTTTATGATTAAAAGTCATCCAATTTATATCTATTATATTATTCAATAATACCTTATAGATTAAACTCTATTCGATACATTCTAAGAATCAGTATCCACAAATGATTATTTATTTGATGCATTCTAATATAATCTCTTAGATGTAACGAAACCAGCTAAACCTTGTGAATTTGGTTTATCAAATGTTCTTATTTACTATCTTTATTCTCTTTCATTTTAAAATAGATCTGATATGTAGGATTGAAGATCACCTTTCATTCTGTTAGCTTTTTAAGATTTTCTTTCTTCTATTATCTACCTTTCTTCATATGGGGATTTTAATTATTATTAAGGATTAGGAACATAATTTTTTAAATTTTAAGTTGCTTTTTGAGGAGATATTTATATCTAAGATTCAATTATAAAGGATGATTTAAGGGATATTTGACTATTTCCTAATTAACCTTTATTTTAAAGACTCCTTTGAAGTAAATTACCACTACTTCCAAAAGAAGCCTTATTTCTAGAATATGCTGGAGTTGAATCAATATAACTTCGTTTAACTTTAGATTGATTAGTACCTTCTTCTTCTTCATTATTTTTTTATTGTAATTTATTAACTTAAAGTTCTGATTATTTGATTTCAGATTTCTTAGCTAGTAATTGTGCAAACAAATCTTATTCATTTTGAACAATATCTTATTTTTCTTTTTACTTTTATCCTTCATTTACTAAATTATCTAATTTCTCTTATAATTTTTCTAATGTTTCACAATTATTTGCTATTGCCTATACTCTTTTATTTGGTGCTGCATCTAATCCTCTTAAACCTTCTTTAGGCATCTCTCCATTATCTAACATAGTCAACAATTAAAGTTTCTCATTAATGATTTATAATTTATGATCATTTTATTTTTATTTGTATTCCCATTATTCCCAAACTTTAGAAAAGTTTTCATCATTTAATGTAATATCTTTAAATACTTAAGTTCTATTTAAATATAGTTCAATAATCTTACAAATCTAATCCTTTAGCATAATCTCCAAAATCTTCAATGGCTAAAACATCCTACTCTTCTTTGCATAATGATTTAAAAGCTTCTGCAGCATTTTTGAATTTAGATGATAAATTTTTCTTTAATTAAACCCATTAATTTAAAATAGCTTGATTTTTCTCAATCTCTTACTTCTATTAAGTTAACTGCTCAATTTCAGACATATTAAAATTTATTTTAATTATAAATAAAAATTTAATTCTCAAGTAATATTAAACATTTTATATATACATATCTAATAAAAATGATATAAGAATAATAAAATAATTAATTTTAGTTATTGATAATTATGAAGATTTTTGTATATGAATATATTTAATAATTTTGAGTTCTATTTATTAAATTAACAAAATGATAATGATATCATTATTATTATTGAAATAAACAACAATATTATTTATAAGGTATAATCTTTAATAATTCGATTATTTATAAAATGTAATTTAAGATAATATAATAGAATTTTTGTATGTATATATTTATTCATTATTAATATTAAATATTAAATAATGTAAAGAAAAAAATTGGAGCGAAATTTCGTCAATGAACAATCAATTTCAAAATATTTAAAGTGTATTATTTGTGCTGGTGTTTATGATGAACCAACTAGATTAAAATGTGGGTATTGATTTATATCAATGAAGTCATACTTTTTGTAAAACATGCATTATTGAATGGTTAAATAATCATCCTAATTGTCCTGAATGTAGAGCTAATACATAATAAAAGCACTTTTAAAGTATTTATTATTATATTATATTTAAGCTGATCGTATTGCTGCAGGAATTATAAGTGAATTGGATGTTTATTGTTTAAATAGAAAGTATGGTTGTAAATGGAAAGATGTTTTAGATTAATTAGAAAATCATTAAAAGAAATGCACTGCTAAAAGTGTTGCAACATAACTTAATTTAAAAATTCAATCTTATTAAGACAATGATGAGGATAATGAACTTGCTTAATAAAATGATCCAGGAAATCTAGTTACAAGAATATATGCTAATTTAAAAGATAAAGTAGAAGTAATTGATGCTTTAAAATCTTCAAATGAAAATACGAAAGATAATAATTTAGAAGATGATGATCCATTAGCATTTTTGGAAGAATTGCAAAAATTTTCAGATAAAAGTCCTTTAGAAGAAAAGAGAGAAATTACTTTTAGCGATGTTGATATACCTAAATAATGTCGTGAAAGAATAATATAATAATAAAATAAATGATAATCTCATTAATCTATAATACCTATATATGAATTTAATTTCTTAATCTTATGTGTATTTTTCTCATTCTATATTTCTATTTGAACAATCAAGGGATCTTTTAATACTTTCAACATATCAAAGTAAGTGAAATAAGGCTGAACTATTCTCTATAAAAATTCCTTATACTCTATTGTTTATTATATATCTTAGGGTATAAGTAAAGATAAAAGTGTTTCAAAATCTTAAAATTTTAAGATATTTTATGTATGAGCTGTGAAAAGCATCTTAAATTTATCGGCAAAAGATCCTCTTAATAAAATGGTTAAACAGATTAGAAATTCTCTAAAATCTAAGAGTTCTGATTTATTTTCATCAAATAAATTAAAAATTAACTACAATTTTTCTTGATCTAAAGAATAATGTTAGCACTCTTTACGTAAAAATATCTCCTATTTATATATAGATAACTGATGATATTACCATAAAATAAAGAAATGTATCTATATTGATTCCATATTTTTAGAGTTTAAATGATTATATTATTAAAATCTCTCTATATTAATCATCTGCATCTTCATCAGATGAATCAGTTAATTATGCTTATTATTTCAAACTTTATCTCTATTATTAATCAATTGAAATAGTTCTTTTCTCTAAACAATATTTTTTGAATTGTGTTTATAATGTTGTAATCTCATCTATATCAAGATTTGAGATTTTTTTTAATTTATTTAAGATAATTGGATCATTTTATACCCATGATCTACTTGTTTTTGAATAATATTATTCAATATATAAAGTTCTTTCAAATTTTGTAAAGTAAATTTCATCCTTTTGAAATAGTTCAATTAAATTGGCATAATGAACAACTTGTATTTAATAGGAACATATAAATACATTTTCCTATATTATTCAAAGTTTTAGGCTGCATGAAATCAATATCTCTTGAAGTTATATTTAAAGTGTACAATAGAACCTTGTCAATAGGAACAAAGGATTTAATTTTGAACATTTGAATCCAAGTGACTAATAATGAACTTATATTAAGCACTTATATCATTAAAGTTAATAATAATTATGGTCCTTAAAGTTCAATAAATTGGATTAAGATTTCTTTATTTTTAAAATCATTAACACTAATCATTTCTTTAAGGAAATTAATTTCAGCTTAATAACCAATTAAGGATGCTCCTGATGAATTTGAAAAGAATCTTGGAGGTATAATAACATTAAATAGATGATTCATTAGAAAAAAGGCTCCTTCTTCATCTGCTATACATAAACAAATAATTGCAATGTAATTCATTCCTTAACAATATCCAATAGTTGGATGATGAGCTACAAATAATTCCAAAACACGAATAATTGAATTTCTAATTTATTATTATTCTAATCCTTATTAACATTGTGTTACAAATTCTCTTATGCTATAATTTAATAGATGAGAATCTGATCTTCCAGTAAGTATATCCTTCTCAATATTTTGTTTTTCATAAAATTCAATAGGTTATTATATTTTAATTTTCCCTTTTTTATTACCCAATAATTTTTTCATGAGAAGTGATTTAGTATTCCATTATAATTTGTATTAGTTAATTAAATCCTGATAATATAGATAATCTCTGTAACAATTATCACAAACTCTTTATGGTTTATGTAATTCTTTCACCATTTCATTTGGTATAGCATATAACTTTGTAAATAATATTAAATTACTTTTATTCGATTGTTACTACAAGAGAGACAAACATCTTAATGGCATCTTTTACATTTGCTAAAGAAACGCATTAGCCTAAAATTATGATTGTACTTAATTACAATATTTGAAGAACCTTTTAGCATACACAACATTTTGATTTTTCAAAAATATTCATTAATAGTTAATAAATATATTAAAAATACCCGGAAAGAATGTATATAGAAGAATTTTCTAATTAACTAAATTTGGATCAAGAAACTTTAGATAATGTTAAAACAGCTATGCAATAATTTTCAGAATAAGATGAAAAAGTATATATATTATTAGAAAGCATTTAGATTTACGTTCCAGCTGTTGTTTATTTGTGCAGTCAAAGCTGTCAAATATAATAATTAGATGGAAAAACAAAATAAGGAAATGGAATTACACTTACATAAGTATAATAATAATAGGATTGTAGATAATCCGCAATTTGGATCCATAAACTGATATTGAATAGTTCTTATTAATTTTGTAAGATCTTCCTGCTCTTCTGAAGTATCATTCAATTGAATTTGATAATATTGTCAGATAAGCTAATTTCAGTTTTAGATTATACAAAAAATTTGACAAATGTTTTAGCCTTATTCAGTATACACAATAAATTAAGTATTTATTAGACCAGTTTAAAATCCAAGTTAAACTCCATAATTCAAAAAAGAAGATGATAATGATCCTTATATATAGGAATTAAAGAAAGTAGCATGGATTTTGTGTATGATGGTTAGATAATAAATTGTACAATATGAAGAGTAGTTAGATAAAAATGAACATAAAATCTATGATCCAAATAGTAAAGTTATTTTGATTCTTGTTGGATCTTTATCTATTGTATTTTAAAATTTACCAAATACATTCACATAAAATGTAGTAGATCTTTCATAAAAAATGCTGTCATTTTTTTGTAATGAATTAAATGAATGTGATGAAGAATTATAATATTATTAAAATTTGTGTTATACATGCATAAATCAAATTGTAAATGTAATGTAACATAAAGCCAAAATTATAGATTTATAATAAGAAATTTAAGAAAATTAAGTACCTATTTTATTTGAAGAAAAAACAATTATTTAGACTTATAAAAGATTACATAAATATTATGAAAAGACTAGAAAACATTCAGATTTAGATGAAGAATGTTTTTTAAGACAAAGAATTGTATTTACTCCTAAAAAGGATATTAATAAATAAACAGATTATTCAGAATTTGAAACTTTGTAAAAGAAAACTAAAATAAAAAGTGATCCTCCTTTTATGTAAACACCATTAAAAGATAATAAATTCTCTAATACTCAAGAAAAAACATATTTTGATATTAAAAAAAATGCAATTCCTCAAACTCCTATAAGTAAATGTATGGAATTACATTAATGGATGAAAAAAATCACTATATAAAAATATAAATGTTTTGATGATGATGATGAATAAGAATTTTATGCTTAAGCAACTATTAAATTAAGAAAATACTTTGAAATTACAGAAGATTCAAAATGTTCAAAATAAATTGAATAAGAATAAACTATATTAACATTATGTTTAGCTGTTATTGACTCATTAATTAAATAAAATGATGGTTAATTTGATTTAAAACTTCTTAAAAATGATAGATTTTAATATTCAATTCTAGGTTTATCTTTATACACTTATTAAATTGTAATCTAAAAACCTAATTTATTGTAAAATATNGGATTGTAGATAATCCGCAATTTGGATCCATAAACTGATATTGAATAGTTCTTATTAATTTTGTAAGATCTTCCTGCTCTTCTGAAGTATCATTCAATTGAATTTGATAATATTGTCAGATAAGCTAATTTCAGTTTTAGATTATACAAAAAATTTGACAAATGTTTTAGCCTTATTCAGTATACACAATAAATTAAGTATTTATTAGACCAGTTTAAAATCCAAGTTAAACTCCATAATTCAAAAAAGAAGATGATAATGATCCTTATATATAGGAATTAAAGAAAGTAGCATGGATTTTGTGTATGATGGTTAGATAATAAATTGTACAATATGAAGAGTAGTTAGATAAAAATGAACATAAAATCTATGATCCAAATAGTAAAGTTATTTTGATTCTTGTTGGATCTTTATCTATTGTATTTTAAAATTTACCAAATACATTCACATAAAATGTAGTAGATCTTTCATAAAAAATGCTGTCATTTTTTTGTAATGAATTAAATGAATGTGATGAAGAATTATAATATTATTAAAATTTGTGTTATACATGCATAAATCAAATTGTAAATGTAATGTAACATAAAGCCAAAATTATAGATTTATAATAAGAAATTTAAGAAAATTAAGTACCTATTTTATTTGAAGAAAAAACAATTATTTAGACTTATAAAAGATTACATAAATATTATGAAAAGACTAGAAAACATTCAGATTTAGATGAAGAATGTTTTTTAAGACAAAGAATTGTATTTACTCCTAAAAAGGATATTAATAAATAAACAGATTATTCAGAATTTGAAACTTTGTAAAAGAAAACTAAAATAAAAAGTGATCCTCCTTTTATGTAAACACCATTAAAAGATAATAAATTCTCTAATACTCAAGAAAAAACATATTTTGATATTAAAAAAAATGCAATTCCTCAAACTCCTATAAGTAAATGTATGGAATTACATTAATGGATGAAAAAAATCACTATATAAAAATATAAATGTTTTGATGATGATGATGAATAAGAATTTTATGCTTAAGCAACTATTAAATTAAGAAAATACTTTGAAATTACAGAAGATTCAAAATGTTCAAAATAAATTGAATAAGAATAAACTATATTAACATTATGTTTAGCTGTTATTGACTCATTAATTAAATAAAATGATGGTTAATTTGATTTAAAACTTCTTAAAAATGATAGATTTTAATATTCAATTCTAGGTTTATCTTTATACACTTATTAAATTGTAATCTAAAAACCTAATTTATTGTAAAATATGAAATAATTATGCACAATCTTTGAAATAAGTCCCTTAGATTTATTTAGAGTAATAGCTAATTTTGCTCATTTCAATAGATAAATGCCTTCTACTATAACTTCGTAACTCTTTGAATTAGAAAAACATATCTTATTCAATTTAATGTGGTAAACAGATGCTGAGAAATTAATTGAAATCTTTAAAGATAGTATTTAATTTAATGTTATGTTATGTAGATTCCCCAAAATACTTTGATTAAGAATTAGTAAGAAGATTTTAAAATCATTTAGCCTTAAGAGTTAAAGAACTTTGTAAAATACTTTAATTAGATATTCATGATTTTGCTTATTAAGCAATATGTGAGTTTATGAAGAATCCAAAATTAGAAGTACTTAAGGATGTGATTTTTGATACAGTGATAGTTTGCACATTTTATGTGATATAAAAACATCATAAACAAAGTCCTTCCTTTAATTCTTTTAATAAAGTAACTATATATAATATATTATAATAGCTATATAATTAATATTACTCTTAATAAAAGCAAGTCTTCACTAGAATCGTTGAGTATTATAATGAGAGATTTTTGAATGGATTCAGAGATATTGTAAAATCAATATCTAATGCTCAACCTTTACATATACCTAAGAATTTCGAATGTCAGAGTCCATTAATAATAAAACCTATTCCTGTATCTCCAAATTATAAATTATCGTATATTGCTACTCCAGAACCACCCTCCCCTCAAAAAAACTTTATGCGTTCATTGATGCAAAAGATAAAACCATAATAATAATAATAATAATAATAATAAGACATTCAACCTTTTTAAGATTGATTTTATATTTAATAAAGCAATCAAAGAACTTCTGCCAAAATATTTTGATTTCTCTCCATCTCCTATATAGCTGGTCTAAACAACTAAAATTATATTCCTTATAACATTATTCCCATATATGTTAATATAACTCTCTCTGTCTACACTTTCCATATATGTGTATATTATAACTTCATGGAATTATTTTAGCATAACACTCTAAATTATATAAATCATTACATGCAAGAGTGACACAAATATATAAGATAAATGGTATATAATGCATCTAGGCAGCCTTCTTTTTCTCTAAAAAACTATTTGCATATGCAAAATAAACCATATTTAGTAAAAATGATAAATCCACTAATGTTTCATGCTAAAATAATTAAGTTGGCATCGCCTAGAGAATTATTTCAATAAGTAATAGTAAATGAGCAACCTATCCTGCGAGACAGATGGTGGGATTAAAATTCATTTTATGTTGTTTCTTTGTCAAAAACGGCAAAGTTCCTATTTGTTTATTTGTAAATGATTTCTTTATAATTTCTGAGATTACTATACCCAAAATACATAGACAACACATACAAACCTCTTACTTAAATTAATAACTTACAACTAACCCAACATTGTATGATAATGGATCATCATAAAAAAAATAAATCCTATCCTCTTCTGGCAAATTTGATAGAGCAATCAAAAAACTACATATACTCAGACAGCAATATATTGTTGGTTAATTACTCAAAATTAAAGTCTTTTAATTTTCATTTTTTGTTTCTCTCATTGAAGAAAATAAAGAAACTCTATCATCTGCCAAAATATCATAGTTATATGTCTCTTTCACTTCTCTTTTTCCATAAAATGCAATGATATCGTCCTTATTCATCGCAGATGCTTCTAAATAAGTTATTTAATAAATATAAACTATTTATATAAACTAATTTTCTTTAATTCTTAATTAGAAAAATCATAGTTAACATTATCATATATAAATATAATCTAAAAAACTAATTACTTAGTATATTTAATACTAATTCAAACTAGGTATATTTAAACTAATTTTATATACTAAATATAATTAAATTAATAATTGTATTATCTCTAAAATTATAAAAATAATATGAATCCACTTAATTTTCCCTTATTAATTTTATATCATTAATAAAATAAAAAATAAGTTATTTGATATTGAAATAATACCCTTTAGAAATCTTTCAATGCTTCTTTATAGAATTCTAACATCTTCAAATTATGCAATTTTCTTAATTGCTTAATTTAAGATTCTTGTCTTTGTTATAGTAGAACAGTTCAAATATTCACTTTTACAATTTAATGAGATTTAATTAAAACTCCTTTAATCATTTTAAAATAAATAATGAATTCACTTATTTTATGTATTATCATTTTTTTATACTTATATGAAATTAATTTTAAGTTTGGTAGGTCTTTTGGTAGTATAAGAGTGGAACTCTTTTTTTTCTTCCTCATTCTTTTCTGAATTCAGACCATTTAATTCCACAGGAATATAAATCTAATTAAATAAAGATCCACTTTCTTTTGCCTCATCTGAAGATGATCTTTAATTATTATTTATAGTTTATTAGGGCATAGATATTTTTTTATGGGTGGAATTGGTTTATATATTTTCTACAATCTTATTTAAATCTAATTTCTGATGAAAATTTTAATATAAATTATTTATTTTACTTGATTTTTTGATTTATAATTGTTAGTCATCAACTTTAGATTCTTTTTGTGTTAATTATCCATAATTATTATGTGCTTATAATATATGTTTTTCTAATTTGTCTCCTTTAGAGAAAGACAACTTACATTTAATACAGATATAAATTTCTAGATCAGTTAAATGTTCAGTTCTAATATGATTAAGACAATGTTATTGATCTTTTATGATTTGTTGACATTCTTTACATTTTAAATCTTATTGAAAATATAACTTAAAAAATCCTTTATGAAGCTTATCAAATAGATCATTTTAGTATTCTTTATCACAAAATTATTTTAATGCTTCAATTTAATTAATAGAACTCTACTTCATCTTTTATTCGATATGATAATAAAATCGTGATATTAATTTGCGAGCAGTCTATTTAATATCAATAAGTTATTCTTATTTTGGATCTTCTTCATTAATAATTACTTCTACACTTGTTTCATCATTTATAATGACTACTGGATTCTCACTTGCCTTTGATTTGATCATGTCTGTATTTTTATCAATATTGAAATTATGTTTTTTAATAAGTGTATGAAGTATATACAATTTGTCATTAAGTTTAGATATGTTCTTATGACATTTCTTAACATTTGCTAGAATTTAGGTCTTATTAATTTGAGATTGCATAAAATAATATTAAATAATTATGAAATTCCCGATTTCATACTATTAAAGAAATATAATATAAATTTTTAATTAATTAAATAATTTATAATATTGTATAATAGTCTAAATCTTATAATTTATGATATTAGAATATTAATATATTTATCTTTATTTATTAATTGTTTATAATATTATTATCAATAATAATTATCAATGTCTTCATCACTTTATTATTTATTTATTTAATCCCATTCATCTTAAAAGTAACTCTAATTTGGTTAAGCATATATATCTGAAAATAAATTGTAACATCTCCAAATAAGCTATTCAATTTTAAGATGTAATCCAATAGATCTACTATCAACATCTTCTGCAATTCTAGCAAAAGCTTCTAAAAATTCTACAAAACTCATTTAAAATATTCTATCTGAATTAACTTCATCAATTTGAGTCATCATAGACTTATTGAATGCGAATAATGATGTATTAGGTCCATATGTATCTAATTGATTTAATCCAATATGTGAACACATATCTTATAATTCTTATAAACTCATAAATGGTCTCTATCCTGGTTTTACTTTTTTCACACTATATCTTATATAAACACTATCCAATATAGTTTTATAATGTTTCATACATAAATCACATTTTTCATTCCAATATCTAGAATCTCTAAAAGTTTAACTATTATATTTATTGAATTCCTCTTTTAAATGATCTTCCCATAACCATTTTAAAGCTTCTTCAAAAGATTTTGCAATCCCATTTCTAATATATTTATCTTCAGCTATTCTTATCCACATTTCTAAAAATTAAAATCTTACCATTCCTCTTTCTGGTTTTCTAAAATTTCCTTTCTCTGTTCCAGATATGGTGGCTAAGTATTTTAATTCCATATCCTATTATTTTATTATTCCTTTCTCATTCATCTCTGTTAATTTAATCTAACTTAATAATTGTAAGTTTATTAATGAAGAAATGGCCCAAACATCTCCAATTGGTGATAAACATGCAAAATGTCTAATTTCAAATTATCTATTACTTATAAGTATCCTTTATTTATTGATAGTTTGATCTCAAAAATTCATAACAAGCATTTCTATCATTTTCATCCTTAACTAATTTTGTAATTCTACTTAAATTCCAATCATTTGAAAAACATTTATCTAACATTTCTTCAGTATCTTTTTTCCAATCTTTAAACAAAGAAATTGGAAATGACCAAATGCTCTTATTTTCAATTACATCAGGTATGTAAATCAAATCTTCTTATCTTGGTTAAACATTTATCATAGGCATATAATATTTATCAATTATTTATGTTCCTTAAACATTTATGTAATTTAGATGATTCAATTTTACATCCACTTTTTTATCTAAAATGCGCACTTTATTTAATGGTAATGGCCATCTCTTATGAAGTTAATCCTAAGCTACACATTAAATATCATCATTTGTAAAAAAGTAGTAACACAAACCAGGAGGAACCATTCTCTAAACTCTTAAACCTTATTCAATCTTTCCCATATATAAATCATCATAATTCAAATAAGATAAATGCAAGAACATTGGATCATTTGCTGGACCAGAATCTTATGGATTCCATTAGAAATCTACTTATCTCCAACCTTCACAAATCCAACAACAATCTTTGATATTACTATCTCTATATGATCTTAATCTTTTCTATCTAATATATTAACATCCTTATATTCTTTAAGCAATTTAATGTTGAGACTATTCCATTTCTGCTGTTTCAATAGGTATTAAAAATCCTTTTGTATCTACATAACCAGAATTACCTGTGTAATGAAATCCTATAATTGTTTTATTTTTTTTCAATCCTTCAGCTATATTTAATGTAATTTTATATGAGATTTTATTGAAAGACAAATCAAAATGAATTAATTCTTTATTGGTGCTCACCATTTGATTAAAACTATTTGACCAATCCAAACCAATCCCTATTGAATTTTAGGATAAATCTAATACTTTTAAATTAGATTTTTGCAAACTATTAAAAATCATTATTGCTCCATTTCCATTCAATCTATTAAAATGCAAATATAATTCTTATATATCTTCATTATTTTATATCATATTACAAAGTGCTGTACAACAATTATTTGATATATTATTTTTACTCAAATTCAAAATTTTTAATGATCTATTATCAGCAATCCTATCCAAAATTTCAATTATTAAACTTTCTTTTAATTTATTATCCTCTAAATTTAATAATTATATTTTGCAATCTCTACTCACTAAGGAATTTCCAATCTCCAAACATCCACTGCCAATCTTATTTTTTGATAAACTCAACTTATATGCTCCTTTAGTACTTTTTATAATTTCAGATGAACTCATCTAAGTCATTCGATTATCATTTAAATGAAATTCTTTTATGTCATTTTACTTTTATAATCCCTTTGCTAAAATCACCATGTACTTATCTCCATACTTCATATGGCTATTAAGAGATAAATAATACTTTAATTGCAAAACATCATTCTTTTATCGATTAAATAATCCAAAACTTCCAGGAGGTATTTATGGAGATGACAAACTACTCATTAAGTTATCATTTCTATTATAAAATTGATTTTATTCTTAAATTCTTTCAATTGTTTTATGAAATCGATAAAACTCCTTTTTTGTACTTTTTGTAGTTTCAGGAGATAACTCAAAACTAAAATCAAGTTCTTCTTCTTCTTCATTCTTCTGAGTAATGAAATGACCTTTATTTTAAAATGGAAGTTTAGGTAGAGACCTTGTCATATTTGCCTTTTTTCTGATTTTCATATAATTTAAGAGATGGAATAAATATTAATAATTATTATTTTTTTTTTCTGTAACTTATAATTAATTCAATCATTTATATACATATAATCATAGATAATATTAGATTTTCTTTTATTATAACATGTCAATCTATTAATAACTCTTCAAATTCAACAAATTTATTATGTAAATTTTTATTAAAAGTAAAAAATTCTACAAATAATATATGGATATAATTAATTTAACTGCTAAAGTCTTACTTTAGATGTCTTTTCTGGATATAAATTATATATATCTAATGAATTTATAATCTAGTATGCCTAAAAAATATACGGATATCATTATTAAATTAAGAACAAATGAATTTATTTTATATCATTAACTTTTAATGACAATTAAATATTTTGAAATCAATATTATTTGATATATAATTATTATAATTCAATTAATATATTGACTTAATTAAGATACTATATTATTAAAATAATCTATGTAATTATGTATAATAATGATTCAACCTCTAATTTCTTGATATCTATAATTTATTTTCTAGAAAATTATACTATTAAAAAGAAATTCTTAATTTATTAGATCAATGAATTTAATATAATTAACATAATTAATTTACAATAAAAATGGAAAATGAATTAGAAATTCTATTTACTAAAAAGACTACTTTGATATAAAGAATTGAAATAATAAAAAAATAAATCAAACTTAGTTCAAAGTTTATTTATTATATATATATAATAATTAAACATTTTAATAATATATGATATTCTT